ACTCTGCTCTTTCGGCCCGCCTTTCAACTGTCAATCAATCAACTGTTACTAACTACTACTATTTTTTTTTTCACGCACGCGCACACACACACACACACACACACACACACACACACACACACACACACACACACACACACACACACACACACACACACACACACACACACACACACCAGGAAGCAGCCCATGACAGCTGACTATCTCCCAGGTACCTATTTACTGCTAGGTAACAGGGGCATAGGATGAAAGAAACTGCCCATCGTTTCTCGTCGGCGCCCGGGATCAAACCCGGGACCACAGGATCTGGTGTCCAGCGTGCTGTCCGCTCCGCCTCCGGCTCCCAGTGTGGAGTGTAAAGCTCCCAGTGGGAGTGTGTGTGTGTGTGTGTGTGTGTGTGTGTGTGTGTGTGTGTACTCATCTAGTTGTACTTTATTTCACGTTATTTCACTCACTCTAGTTGTACACTTTATTTCATTATTATTATTATTATTATTGGATAAAAAACTAACATTTATGTATTTATATATGTTATGTAAAGATTTGAACTACACCAAGTCTTTCGCATTCTCGTACGTGCATTATCAAGGTCTTAGTCTATGGTTTAAAAGACTTATATCTAAACTTTGAGATGTAAGTCTCGTCTTAATCATATACTCAGACCTTGATAATGCACTCAGGAGAGGGCGAAAGACATCATATTTTTACATAAAATATACAGATACCTAGTATGGTTTTTTATCGTACGCCATTATGTCTGTGATTAGACATTACAATTACTGATTATTATTATTATTTATTTTTATTTTTTTATGGGGGTCGAGGTCAGTATTTAATTTTGGAATTATTTATTGTAGGGTTTGGCTCCCATCGAGTAGATCCGAGCTCTTGGGCCCCAAGCTGTAGAGGTGGGGCGTCTCATCATGCAATAATCTTTCTAACATTGGGTCTTCTAAATTTTCGATCGTGTTTCACACCCTGATGGCTTGCTGTTTTAGTCTGATCTTTAAGGGTTGTGTGTTCAGAAGTTCATGGAGCTCCTGGATCATCTGATCATAAGGTGAACGTTGTTTTTGTGCTCCCCATAAGTTGACTAATACCGGGAACCTAGTTGCTGCTAGGTGAACTGTATCATTAGGTGATAGGAAACATGCCCAACCATTTCTATCCTGTCCAAGACTTGATCCTGAGATTCTAGATTGTGAATCGAAAACGAACCCAAGTGTTCTATCGAGACTAATATGCATAAGAGTTACATCATGCAGAGTTACAAACCAAATAAGATTTCAACAGAGAATTAACAGTGCAGAAGATGTTAACCACACTGGTCATAATCCTTCTGAAGCCAACATACGAGTCATAAATTCTCATCCTCCGCCTAAGACAGTAATAAGTAACACTTAATGGGCCTTACTACATAGTCTCCCGACTTGGCGCCTTCTTTTGATAATTACTTAACGGGTCAGCTTCGTCGGCAACGGAGCAGTCCTGCAAAAAAAAAAAAAAAACAATACCATTCCCTACTTGCAGACGGAATGTAAGATCTTTATATATAAGATCCTTCATCGCCTTCCCTATTTTTCACCAACTTTCCACCCTTTCATTTTTTTCCACTCTTTGTCACTCCCTTTATCGCTGTAACTATATTCAGTATACACTGTCTTCATCATTAAATAAAATACAAAAGGCAAAAACTAACATTTAGCCATCATGAAAATAATATACTTAATAAATGTTACAGAGGATGGAGTCTAGTATTTAGCAATATAGACAAAGTAGTAGGCTTGAATTTTTCACCGATTATGTGGGGGAGTCACTATTAGGCCGACCCCCCTTTTAGTAGGACCAATATGACTGATCACAACCATCCTATATCTGTCCTGTACCCCAGACCATTCACCCCGGCAAAGTTGTCCAATCTTGGACAAACAAATATACATTTTCTTTTATATATGGATTGATTTTCTAGCTGATGAACTAGACTAGGCTTTCAATTTGCACCAAAAACTGGTCAGTCAAATACGCTTTGCAGTTCTCAGTCCAGTATTGCTTGCTAACTTTCTTGCTCCACTGATGAAAGAGTTAAGAGGGAGTAGAGCTGGCTGTCACACAGGCAGTACAAAAGGCAAATGTTTTCTGCTAGGCTGCTGATCTCGTTCTGCTCCTTCCTGGTGAAGGGTATGGAGGGTGGTGAAGGGTATAGAAGGTGGTGAAGGGCATGGAAGGTGGTAAAGGGTATGGAAGGTGGTAAAGGCTATGGGAGGTGGTGAATTGTATGGAAGGTGGTGAAGGGTATGGAAGGTGGTGAAGGGTATGGAAGGTGGTGAAGGCTATGGAAGGTGGTGAAGGGTATGGAAGGTGGTGAAGGGTATGGAAGGTGGTGAAGGCTATGGAAGGTGGTGAAGGGTATGGAAGGTGGTGAAGGGCATGGAAGGTGGTGAAGGCTATGGAAGGTGGTGAAGGCTATGGAAGGTGGTGAAGGGTATGGAAGGTGGTGAAGGCTATGGAAGGTGGTGAAGGCTATGGAAGGTGGTGAAGGGTATGGAAGGTGGTGAAGGGTATGGAAGGTGGTGAAGGGTATGGAAGGTGGTGAAGGGTATGGAAGGTGGTGAAGGGCATGGAAGGTGGTGAAGGCTATGGAAGGTGGTGAAGGGTATGGAAGGTGGTGAAGGGCATGGAAGGTGGTGAAGGCTATGGAAGGTGGTGAAGGGTATGGAAGGTGGTGAAGGGCATGGAAGGTGGTGAAGGGCATGGAAGGTGTTTTTTGTGTGGTGGGGCTAGTTTTATCGGTGGTGGTACTAGTGGCAGTTGTTGTGGTACTAGTGGCAGCGGTGGTGGTACTTGAGGCAGTGGTAGTACTTGTGGCAGTGATGGTGGTAATAGACCTACTCTAAGTGTGGTATAGATCTATATGCCCCGTCTACAAGCCTTCTTGAACGTAGTGCGTTGTTAATGAACTGTGGAAGTGTTGCTAGTGGTGGTGATGGCTGTGCGGTGATAGAGGCTGAGATGGTGGTGCTGTTGGTAGTAGTGCTGCTAGTAGTAGTGCTGGTTGCTGTGTAGGTGGTAGTAGTATTAATAGTAGTGGTTGTATAGTATAACTGGTGTTGGTGACTGGACGTGGTGGTGCTGGTAACTGGGGTGAGGGTGTTGCTAGTGCCTGTGGTAATAGTAGTAGTACTGCTAGCGGTAGTTGTGATTGTGGTGGTAGTGTTGCTAGTGGTAGTGGTGGTAGTGCTGCTAGTGGTAGTGTTGCTAGTGGTAGTGTTGCTAGTGGTAGTGTGGTGGTGGTGGTGGTGGAAGGGGTGTGGGGTAGTCCAATAGCTTGCAGCAGTGAACCTAGCTCCTCCTTTCTCTTGTCGACGTACTTTGCTTATATTTCCGTATTTTCATTGAAAAATGATTCTATTCGATAAAGTATATAATGCAGAAAAATATCATTTTTAATATTAACTAAGCATACGGCTATACACTTCACGTGGCATTTAATATAAGCAGGTTCCTGAGGATTTGAAAGCTTTCATGTCTGATTATGACCCGTATTGTGAAAAATGGCAACTCGGTGAAATACTTGACAAGTATTTGCAACATGTATTCGAGTTTATATCGCTAGACTCGTTTACAGGCCAACAATAACCGTCAGTGTGCGTGAAGGCCTATACAGTGTGTGGTATGAAGGAGGAAGGGGAGGCGAGGGAGGTTGTTCCAAGATAGGAAAGTAGTGAGTGGTGTGGTGGTGGTGGCGGGCGGGAGGGCGGCGGCGGTCAGCTGGTCCCGCCCCAGTTAGTTGTGTATGTGGTGTGGCAGCTGCGGGAGGTGCCTCAGTCTCGGGGGTCGTGGTGATCACCCTCGTCATAATGGTGAAGCTTCTCATGACCAAGTGAGGGGAATTAGTACGCACGCCCAGTGTCCTCTCACTAAACGCGGTGAAGGTTCCAGTCCTAGGTTGAGAAAACCAGTACACCTCATTAATGCTTTCGCAGTGTTGTTCAAGTTTCTAATAATAAGAAACTTTGCAGACTTGATTTCTGTAAGATCGTAATAGTGCATAGTATCTATACCATAGGGTTAGATGGAAATATTCTAAATAGTCATTTTTTAAGTTCGAAGGGAGGAAAACTTGTTCACTTGATGTAATGTGAAGTGAACCAAGGTCAGGTTTGGACAAAATAAAAACTAAAATAAGAAAATGATTCAATAAAGTGCGTAGTATATGTAATGTTACTTTAGGGCGTGTGATTATACATGAAGAGTTAGGTTGTAGCGTCCAGCGTCACCTGGTTAGTGCTCCGTCGGCAACCCCGACACTGGTTAGTGCTCCGTCGGCAACCCCGACACTGGTCAGTGCTCCGTCGGCAACCCCGACACTGGTCAGTGCTCCGTCGGCAACCCCGACAACCTGGTCGGTGTTCCGTCGGCAACCCCGACACTGGTCAGTGCTCCGTCGGCAACCCCGACACTGGTCAGTGCTCTGTCGGCAACCCCGACACTGGTTAGTGCTCCGTCGGCAACCCCGACACTGGTCAGTGCTCCGTCGGCAACCCCGACACTGGTCAGTGCTCCGTCGGCAACCCCGACACTGGTCAGTGCTCCGTCGGCAACCCCGACACTGGTCAGTGCTCCGTCGGCAACCCCGACACTGGTTAGTGCTCCGTCGGTAACCCCGACACTGGTCAGTGCTCCGTCGGCCACCCCGACACTGGTCAGTGTTCCGTCGGCAACCCCGACACTGGTTAGTGCTCCGTCGGTAACCCCGACACTGGTCAGTGCTCCGTCGGCAACCCCGACACTGGTTAGTGCTTCGTCGGCAACCCCGACACTGGTTAGTGCTCCGTCGGCAACCCCGACAACCTGGTCGGTGTTCCGTCGGCAACAACCCCGACACTGGTTAGTGCTCCGTCGGCAACCCCGACACCCTGGTCGGTGTTCCGTCGGCAACCCCGACACCCTGGTCGGTGCTCCGTCGGCAACAACCCCGACACCATAAACAGTTACCATCACGGTCAACACAAGCACTTCAAATTATAGACAAATAAAAGGATATAGATCATCGCACTTCAGGTTAGTGGTATATGCCGATGCTGCTTCATTGTTTTCTAGATATGGATCACATTTTCTTTCAGCTCTGTATTCTTGACATATACTAACTTAGTAAGTTAGCAAAACATTACTGTAGTTACACATTATGTGATGCCCTAATATCAGGGTGTTGTTATGCCTTCAGACGTTTAAGAGAATTTGTCAAATTGTTTGGATCGGATCGTGCGACTTGAAACCATAATTTTATGTTGTCTAGTAAACCTGAATATTTTTTTTTTTAACTGATCGCGTAAATGCTACATTCGAAATCATAATTTACTAACAAGGTTAGGTACATACTGCACTGCGCTGCTATCCTAGTGTTTATGATGAATTGCAGACTTGTTATTCCCATCTCGCAGGATGGGTAGTCGTACATGGGGTGCAAATTGAGTCTACTAGTGTACACTAACAAACTTCAGATAAACTACGAGGATATTCTTTAATAACCGTGACGAAATATTGAAGATTTTTTTCGAGGCAGGTTCAAGTATAACATTTGGGGTTTACGGCTCATGCTATGATATGAAAAATTAGCTTACTGAGAATTATGTAAACTACATATATATATATATATATATATATATATATATATATATATATATATATATATATATATATATATATATATATATATATATATATATAAATGTAGTATTTTTCCTTGTAAATATAATCTTTATATTGTATATCATTTAATAAAGAAAAAAATAACCTTGAGTAAATTAAATAATTTTAAAGCTTCATTTATCTCTGGCCATTTGGTTGAAAATCATTGATAACTGGGCATTCACTAATATAATGTTGAAGATTGTTACCCCTTTTTTCATCGAGTATATATACATCGAGAATGCTAACATGAAATACCACGAGTCAGCAAATGAGTACATTATTGTCTCACTTGGAGCGTGAAGAGGTCGACAAACTAAACGTGCAAATCATCTAAACTTAAATTTCTATTGAGAACATGATGTAAAATAACACTACATATTCTCTATTAGCCTCGTATTTTTTCTCCCAGGTTAGTTGTAAGAAGACTGCCCGCATCATTAAGAAAGTCATCTTTTTTTATTGCGAACCATCAAGTATAACTGAATCCTTTAAGAGGAATAAAGATTAAATATTAAAGTAAACTGTATATACACTGTAAATGCACGTCTTGTCGATATATCCTATATGGTATACCCATATCTTTAAATATATTTATATATTTTGTTTGATAGTTATCTTGTAACTTAGCTGTACATATTCACTGGAAGAGCAACTGGGACTCTCAAAATTTAGGTCAAAGACAACTAACAATAATTTTTCTTTCTCTTTTGGGACTGGAGTCCTTGGGTTTTATGCTCTTCCTTGGCCTCGCGCAGTGGCAAGCCTCACCCACCTCATCTTACATCCTATGGTCTCGTCTCAACAATTTGTTCGAATATTTTCTTTAGATCTTATTTGGTCTCTTGATCTTTTAGTACCCTCTTTTGTTCTTGCCTGATTATGTTTGATTTCGTATGTTTGTACATCAGCAGGAAAAGGAGGGCTTTGCTAGCTAGATACTTGATATTTTTACATATGTACTACACAAAAAAGTGATGTCATCTTGACCTAAAACAATGAGACTTGTGTAACTGTTACAGGAGTCAGATAACTTACAGGAGCTGTGTTCTAAGTGATCTGATCGTGAGCCAGCAGCTATAGGCTACCCCTGAGTCTGATGGTGTATTTTTAAAGCCTTTGTGTACTTGTATAATCTGATGAATGCATATCTATGTCCGTTAAATAGCATTTAAGATTTTTGTTTTGTTTTAAATTTGTTATACACTGCATTTTACTAGCCTAGGCGATAAATTCCTTATATTTATGTGCTATAACAATTAGGCTACTGTAAATTTAGCAATAGTCAAGAATAAATGTAAAATGCCGGTACTTTAATGAACACGCTTCAATCAGGAACCAATCAATTGAGCGGATCAACCGTTTATTCAGTGCTGAACCTGTTTGTTCTCGTACGATCTCATTAGCTTCCCTTTCTCTGTTCATTTCTGAACGACAGGGCTTCCGTAGGCCCAATTTTGCGTTTGATGTGTAGTATCCTTCCACTTAAGTGCACAAAGAAATCATATTAACGTGATGCATCAATATCAGTGAGAAAATTCTCATTGATACAACACTTTCACTTAATAAAATGTCATCATCTTCCACAGCAGCACGATAACACACTACCATACACCACCACCCCCACAACACAATACACTATAGAGTACACACACACACACACACACACACACACACACACACACACACACACACACACACACACACACACACACACACACGCTGACTCCATACACAGTTTCAAATGTAGATATGACAGAGCCCAGTAGGCTCAGGAACTTGTACACCAGTTGATTAACAGTTGAGAGGCGGGACCAAAGAGCCAAAGCTCAACCCCGCAAGCACAAATAGGTGAGTACAGTAACTCACAGCAGCACCACACTGCACGCAGTCATTCACAGCACCACACTGCACGCAGTCATTCACAGCACCACACTGCACGCAATCATTCACAGCACCACACTGCACGCAATCATTCACAGCACCACACTGCACGCAGTCATTCACAGCACCACACTGCACGCAGTCATTCACAGCACCACACTGCACGCAGTCATTCACAGCACCACACTGCACGCAGTCATTCACAGCACCACACTGCACGCAATCATTCACAGCACCACACTGCACGCAGTCATTCACAGCACCACACAACACATAATCGCTACTACACAACACATGTGGTGACTGTCATTCACTCGTTCTCCTCTCTGCGCCAAGGCACTTTAAACATACAAACTTTACCTGATGCACTTATTGTTTTTCTAGCGTCAGGTTTTTCAGCTGAGCGTCCAGAATACGGAACACCGCCCACTGTTACTGCTGCTGGGTGGGTCTTGTGCCTGGGGGAGCCGGGGACGGGCACCCGGCACTGATTGGGGGGATGGGGCGAAGGATGAGGGTCTAAGGTATGTAGGTGGGGAGTGAGGGTGGGAGTGAGGTAGACGGGTAGCGAGGCTGTGAGGTATGTATGTAGGGAGTGAGTAGGATTTATGTAGGTGGGGAGTGAGAGTGGGAGATATTTAGGGGAGTAGTAAGGGTGGGAGTTATGAAGGCGGGTAAAGATTGATTGATAAAGATTAAACCACCCAAAAGGTGGCACGGGCATGAATAGCCCGTAAGTGGTACAAATTTTTTTTTTCTCAGTATTCTGAGGTTGCATTTAACCATCAAGATGTTATCGCGGGGGAGGATACTGCTTCACAGTCTTTATGAGGGTGTCCAGCTGCTGGACACCTTTGTTGACCAGGAGAGTGGCTGTGTTGATGGCTTCAGGGTGGCCACTGCATGATTCAGGAACTCTTAAAGCTCTTCTAAGGTCATTGGTTGCTTCACATTCCAGAAGATAGTGAAGTAATGGCTTTTCTGTGACAGTTTGGCAGAAGATGCACTCTCTCTGTCGGGGTTCACCAATCTCCCAGTTGCATCTGTAACCTAGACGTAGTCTATATAACCTAACTGCTATTTCCCTGTGGATTCCTTTGGGGATATTTAACCTTTCTAATTTGGTTGCCTGAAGATACCAAGGCGGGTAGTGAGAGTGTGAGGTATGTAGGGAGTGAGGGGTAACAGTTATGTAGGTGGGGCGAGAGGGTGGAGTTTATGTAGGTGAGGATTGAGGGTAGAGTTAAGTAAGTGTAGAGTGAGGGTGGGAGTTGTCTATCAATATTTCCTCTTATACATTTCCGTGAACAATTTTCGGAAAAGGCCTAAAAGCAATGAGTTTTAACAATAAGCCAAAGAACTCTAGTTTTTAGGTCTTTTTAGCCAGGACTTTATTCAACCCGATTCAATATTGGTTACCTTTGAACTATATATTTGAAATCAATACGTAACATTTTGCACCCTTACACATAAATAGCCTTAAATGTTTAATACAGTATTGTTTGTTTGCAACATTTTATTGTATTTTTAGGGACACACTGGGATTTAGAATATTTTAGTACCATTGTTTTATTTATATTGTAAAATGATTTATTTATATTGTAAAATGATTTATTTATATTGTAAAATGATTTATTTATTGTAAAATGATTTATTTATATTGTAAAATTATTTATTTATATTGTTAAACAACATACTTTTACCAAATAAATACCTCCAATAATTTTCTAGGAAATAAATGTGATTAGATAAAGCATCAAATACCTTGGTAATAAGAATCAGCAATAGGAATTAATTTATCCAAGCTTAATAATTAGCCTTCCAATATTTTCCTGGAAACCAGTTCCTGGAATTAACACTTTAATCATGTTATCATAGAATGTCTTCAAGATGGTTCAACTTCTCCCTCAAGTGACGAATAACCTAAGAATAATATTAATTATTCTTGCCTAAAATATTGATCTAACTCTCTGGGACTAATTAATAACACACAGCCTTTCCACATGTTAATTGTTAATCCTGATTCTTTTCTCAAGTACTGTTTCTCATTTGTAGTTTTCTTATGTTAGGGACCCAGTTAGGCTGTACAGTTAGGTAACTTGCTAGTAAGTCTTGCTTGTTTCTTAGCTTATATAACCTAAGGCTTCTATGGGGACAGTCTCAAGTAAATTTCTTTCTTTATTATGCACTCCATATCCATCCCGTGGGCGGTGGTGTAAAGGGTTACAGAGGCACATAATCAGTTCAGGAACTGAACCCTCTAGTTCATTTAGCTAAGCAAATAACAATCTTTTGACGCTAGTTACAAAATTATTAATGTTATATATACATGTATACATACTCATGCATACATGTATATATACATACGTATACGTGGACAGTCTCAACAGATTGATTTGTTGCCGCCGGAGGCGCCTAGTGTACTGTGCCCCCCCATACTCATCCTGTGAGCGGTATCACATAAGGATTACAGAGGGCATATCAGACCT